ATATACACACACAAACAAAATATATAAACCTACTACTTCTATGACTTACCAGGCCTTCTTTTCCTTCCAACTAGAAATATTAGGAGGAGAAAGATTAAAGGAAAAGAGGAAGTAGTGAGGTTGGGGGTCAAGAAAAAGAAAGAAAACTGTGAAAGTTCAGCTCACTCACTCCTGCTGGGCACAAAATAGCTGTGCCAGCAGAGGACCAAGGCATGCCCAGAGGATCAGATGCCTAGCATCTGGCAGATCATGCAGATAGCCTTTTTTCCAAGTAGGATTTTCCAAACCACTAATTTTGAATTTTTTCTGTTTTAAAGCAGGAAACCCTTTCTTCAAAACTCATATAGGAGTTCAATATAAAACAGATAAAAAGTAGAGCTGCTCTAACTGGAAAAAGAGAAAGGAACTGAAAGTCTCATTTGCTCAACAACCTCCCTCCTGGGGTCAGCTCCGAGGAGTCATGTCTGTGAAAATCCTAGGGTTCTAAGAGATGGATTCTTCCCAATTTAAATCTAATAATCTCAATTTGAGGGAAAACTTCAGTTCATACTTCTGCCTCAGTTTCTGAAACTATAAAAGAGAACTTACAGTATTTACAGCTTGAAAACAGACTATGAGCCATACTAACAAATAGTCACAAAAATTTTAAATTATAAAAAATATAAAGTTTTTGCCCTGGCCAGTGTTGCTCAGTGGTTAGAGTGTCAGCCCACACACTGAAGGGTCATGGGTTCAATTCCTGGTCAAGGGCACACATCTGGGTTGTAGGCTCCATCCCCAGCCCTGGTCAGGGAATGTGCAGGAGGCAACCAATCAATGAGTCTCTCTCACATTGATGTTTCTCTCCCCCCCACACCTCCCTCTTTTTCCATTCTCTCTAAAAAAAGCAATGAAAAAAATATCCTCAGATTAAAAGAAAAAAGAGCAAAGATGTAGATGGACTCTAACCCAATACAGTAGCCACTTTATTCATGTGGTAATTTAAATCAAATAAAGTTTAAAATTTAGTGCCTTGTTCACTCCAGCCACATTTCAATGCTCGTTAGCCAATGTGTCTACTGGACAGCACGATAAAAAATATTTCTATCAGTACAGAAAGTTCATTCAACAGCATTACTCTAGCAAAAAACTCTTGAATGTATTAAAAACAGTAGCAGACTCACAACAAATGTCTGGAGAGTGAATGAATGATAAAAGACAGGCTTCAATGGGCCATTTTGGAGAGTGAATGAATGATAAAAGACAGGCTTCAATGGGACATTTAAAGAACTAGCCACAGGAAAAGAAACTACTAACAATAGCTAACCTTTACTGGGCACTTAACACAAGCCAGGTACTATTCTATATGCTTTATATGTGCTAGTTTAATTAATGCTCAATAACAACTCTATGAGGTATTTAACTGTTATTACCCTCATTATATAGATAAGAAAACTAAGGATTGGAAAGGTTGAGTAATTTCCCCAAAATCCCAGGATTTAAATCCAGGCAGCTTGATCCAGAATCTAAAGCCTTCATTACCTTTTTTTTTTTTTTTTTTAATATATCTTTATTGAGTTCAGAGAGAGGAAAGGAGAAGGAGAGAGAGAGATAGAAACATCAATGATAAGAGAGTCATTGATCAAGCCCACAACCCGGGCATGTGCCCTGACTGGGAATTGAACCCCGATCGCCTGGATCCCAGGTCAATGCACAACTGCTGAGCCACGCCCAGCCGGGCTCATTTCCTTTTTTTAAAAAATTTTTAATCCTCACTGGAGGGTATGTTTTTTATTGATTTTAGAGTGAGAGGGAGAGAGGGAGACAGAGAAACATCGATTGGTTGCCTCCTGTACACTTCCCGACCCAGGATCAAACTCAAAACCTAGGCATGTGCCTTGACAGGGAATGGAACCCATGATCCTTCAGTGCATGACACAATGTGCCAACCAACTGAGCCACACCAGCCAGGGCAAGAGCCTTCATTTCTAATCATTATACTATACTACTACTATTATATAACAACTATATTTTTAAGTTTTGCTGTGATGGAATAAAATTTATTTAAAGTCAGTCTTCTCATGCATTCCCAAGTCAAGTTCACAGTAAAGAGAGTAAGAAAAGAAGTGGTGAAATAAAAAAATATCGGGAGGAAATTTACAAAATGTTAATACTAGTTTGATCCCTAGGTGCTAAGATTAAGGGCAATTTTTATTGTCTTGTTTTTGCTAGCTCTATTTTCTAAATGTTCCATAGTGATGATGTATCATTTCTATAATAGTAACAAAAACCATAAAAACATTTTTTAAGCAAGATGAAAATATGATCAATTTAAAAATTCTTAAGCAGCTTGGCCGGCAGGGCTCAATGATTGAGCATCGACCTATGATGGAGGAGACTGAGGTTGGATTCCCTGTCAGGGCACTGCTCGGGGCTGCAGCCTCGATCCCCAGTGGGGGTCATGCAGGAGGAAGCCAATCAATGACTCATCATTGATGTTCCTATCTCTCTCTCCCTCTCCCTTCTTTTCTCTCCAAAATCAATAAAAATATATAAATAAATAAATAAATAAATAAATAAATAAAAATTCCTAAGCATAATATCAAATCTTACTCTCAAACATTGCAGAGCCCCCCTAACTGATCTCTTGGCCATCAGTCTCCCCAACACTAAATAACCATTTTGAGTTTGCCATCAGTTACCCTCTGTCATGTTAGTCCTTGCTCCGACTCCAATACACAGAGCATGAAATATAATCTTGGTTTTAAGCAAAATATTTCAGAATAATCTGTCCCAATTCTATCTTTCCACCTTTATCTACCAATACTATCCTATCAAATTCTCAGTTCTTCTCGGAGAAGCATGGTAAGACTCCAGGTCTCAGAGTCACCGCCCTTAGCTAACATATAATCCCTTGGCCTTAGTTCCTTCAATGGAGAATAGTTGAGAAGATTAAATCTTTAAATAGGTAAACCATCCATCACACAAGCCTTCAGTAAGTGGTGGTTTCTCATTAATGTTATTTTTAGCCAAATGGGTTTTTAATTTACTGACTCCTCAAAAAGCTTTGCACTTTTATCTCTGTGCTTTATTTATTATTATTTTGCTCCTTTCTGAGTTCTTTCCCTATCTTCCAAAATCCTATTAAAATTCAAGTTCCAGTTCCAGTCAACCTCCTCCAAGAAAGCTTTTCTGACTCTGCCAAGCTAATATGATCTCTCACTCCTTTGCAATTCTGTAGCAGAGTTTACCCAAGTGGTGGTGTCCTTGCTGATTTTAATAGTTCTCTTTTCATATGTAAGTCCTAGATCCCCAATTAGAGTACAAATTCCTTGCTATGAGACATTCCATTTTATATATACCTTTATACCTTTCTGATGTCACCAGGCATATACTAGATGCTCAAATAATGTGTTAATCTGATTTTTGGATTAGAAAGAAAGTCATCGTAATAAAAACATTGGCTGCCCAGCCGGGTGTGGCTCAGCGGTTGAGCATCGACCTAAGGTCCAGGCGATCAGGGTTCGATTCCCGGTCAGGGCACATGCCCAGGTTGCGGGCTGCAGCCGATCAATGACTCTCTCATCATTGATGTTTCTATCTCTCTATCCCTCTCCTTTCCTCTCTCTGAAATCAATAAAAGTATATTAAAAAAATAATAATATATATATATATATATATTGGCTGAACATTTTTATAGTGGATCAGGAAGGCAATAATTTTATATAAAGACAGAGAGTTTCAAGTAAGCAGTAAAATCTAATTCCACAATTTATTACCACTGACCAAACATGTAAGTCATACTTAAGTTATCTGATTTATCTCTAGTTCAATATAAATATTAGCAATAAACGACCCTAGGTAAATAGCACTTTTAACTTTTTCAAAGTTTTTACACATAAGCCCTACTCAAATACATACTGACTAAAATTGTCTTACTTGGTTTTGTAGGAGTTCAGAAAAAGTCACCCTAAGATGTGCCTCTGTGGTATGCAGATTATTTTGAGCTAAAGGCAACTTAGACCCTGCAGGCTCAAGAGAAGCTTCTGCCACCCACCAACCCCTTTAATTACTTAGAAGAATTTTAATTAGGGGACTTGCCTATAATAAGAGATTATCAGAGATAACCTTTTCGACCTATCTATAAGGCAAACTACTAATTACTGAACATCTGTTCTCAGGCCCCTGCAATGACCTTCTGAAGCCCCAACGTGCCTTACCTCATCTTTAACTCAAAATGTCATATATATGTCATTTTCCTTGTCTGTCTCTGAACCTCTCATGTATGTGGGGGTCTTTGACTCTCTCACGTATATGGAGTTCCCATAAGTATGTATGTAATTAAATTTAATTATTTTCTCTTGTTAATCTGTCTCATGCAGATTTAATTATCAGACCAGCCAAAAGAATCTGGGAGGGTAAAGAAAAGTTTCTTCCTCACCCACAGTTTCATTTGGAAATATACTCACATCACTAAAAAAAATCAAGATAATTAGAGTAAGGAAGATTCAGATACTGATTATTAGAAAGTAATGATCATATAACTTTATTATAAATAATAATAATTCTCCTTTAAAAAGGTAAACTGTGTCACCTCAAGTGACTGCTAAAAGTTGAGGGCAGATAGCCTGGGGCATAACTTAATTTTTATTTTCATTCACTGATTTAATTATAATTCCTCATAAAGCAATTAAGAAAATTAACTGTATAAAGACTGCAATATTTTCTCTTTGATAAAGTACTAATTCAGCAGTAGGGGAAAAACTGTTTTAATGAGCTACTACTAAGAGTAAAGCAATCTGAGAGACAGAAGAAGTTGCTTTATTAAATGCAGTTAATAACCAGAAAATTAAGTCTCAATAGGTAGAAAAAAGACCTACAACACAACTATAAACCCCAGCAAGGCAGATTCAGCAGGAAATCCTGCATCCCTCTTTTTAGCTGTTAATGCTATTCTAACAAGCTTCCAATAATGTCTCAACTCTCTCATTGACCCTCCAGAAGGAAAAAAAAGCCATTACCTAAGGATGTTAGGATGGGAGAGTCTATTCATAAGCTGCACTTCCTTCAGCATATTTGCCCGGTTACTGCTCAAGGTGTTCATCTTAAGAGCCATCACCTGACCAGAAGCTCGGTGACGCACCTGAAAAATAAAATAGAACAAGAAAAAAGGCTCAAGGATAGCAGGAATATATGAGGTCAAAGTCTCCACATGTAGAACATATGCCAGTTTAGATAAAATAGACATGGTAGGGGATATTTTTTTCTATAAACTCTGTGATTACATTAGGGTCTCACTTCCATTGATGAAGATGAATTTATTCCATCCAAGACCAAAACTGTTTCACAGAAATTCCTTGAAATGACAATAACCCAGAAATTTAGCATATCTATTAATACAGGATAGACATCACAGTTTATGGTACAATTCAAAGAAACAATGTTTCAGAGTGGCCAGACAGAAGAAGGGGGAGAAGGAAGGAAAACAGTCACAGGAACCCTGATCAGAAAAATTGAGGCAGAACATTGGCTGTCTCTCCTCTCTTCTAGATCACTTAGTAAGATTTGGAACCCAACTCTCTTCCTCGTGCATCAATGATTCTGTTGTCATGTACCTCGTGATTGATAAAAGGGAACTAGCTTTCCTTTTCAGATCCTGCATGGATAAGTTAAATGAGACATTTATATACAAAGAACACACTGACAGTATTTTTCCAACTCTATTTCCAGAAGACATCTGTGTTTTGATAAGAGCTCTCCATTCTGAAAGTCCCTCTTCTTTTTTTTCTTTCCATCATCTGAAAACTATCGCACTGAGTTTTTAACAAAATGTCTGCTTTTAAGAAAGTCTGATATTAAACAATGTGTGAAATTCAGGGATAAACAATATATGTTTCAAACTAATCAGAAAGAACCCTATTTCTTTAAACAAGAGGACAAGATGATGAACATGTTCATAACTCATTGTACTTTGCCTTTCATCTGCATAAAATATTCCTCTCCTTTCTCCTAGCTCCTCAAATTCTCCTCATCTTTCAAGCTACACTCAAATATCCCATCCTTGCTGAAGGCTTCCTTGACTGTCTGTCTCTGGAAATTATCTGTGGTTTCCTTCTCTATACCACCTCATAACAACATTCATAACACCTCTATACCACTCATCACATAGTTCTGTATATAATCTCCTCACTAAGCTATAACATTTTCTTGAGACTGAGAAGTATACATATTGTATTCGGTCTTGTCTTACAGTGCCTAGAACACCTGGCACATCATAAGGGCACAGTGAAAATAACAGCAACAGTTAAATGATACTTCTAATATAATTTCTAAGGGTCAGTAAATCATTTATTTATTGAGGTGATTTCTTTGGGGGTGGGCAGTGGGAAAAAGAGTGCTCTTCTTTCTTTTTCTTTTTTTGGTGGCAAAAGTTGGGGGTAGAATGGAAACAGAAAAGTAATACAAGATTTAGCCAAAATTTTCTAGATTTTACCATCTAGAAAGGACAAACAATAAGCTATATGGCTAGTCGGATAAGAAAGAGAATAAAGAATCAAATATAGCCCTAGATGGTTTGGCTCAGTGGTTAGAGCATTGGCCTGCGGACTGAAGGGTCCCTGGTTCGATTTCAGCCAAGAGCACATACCTCAGTTGCAGGCTTGCCCAGGTCAGGATGCAGGAGGCAACCAATCGATGTGTCTGTCTCTCTCACATTGATGTTTCTCTCTCTCCCTCTCTCTTCCACTCTCTCTGAAAAGCGAGGGAAAATATATCCTTGGGTGAGGACTTAAAAAAAAAAGAATAAAATATAGGCTCTGGCCGGGTGGCTCAGTTGATTGGAGCATTGTCCCATACATCAAAAAGGTTGCGGGTTTGATCCCCACTGGGGCGAGTATGGGAGGCAACCGATTGATCTTTCTCTCTCTTTCTCTCTCTCAAATTAATAAAAACATCTCCTCGGATGACAATTTAAAAAGAAAAAGAATCAAATATAGCACAAGAGGTACTTATATAGATGTTGATGGAATGAACACATAGGGAAAAACTTCATGGGACTTCAGTGAAATCTCAAAGGATTAAGAGATTTGGATAGATTTTTGTTTCAAGTACAGAATAGACTACAGGTGATAAAGGAAGAAAAAAGCACCATCAAATATAGAAGTCCACATACACAAAAATAAACTCAAAATGGATAAAAGACTTAAATGTAAGTCACGAAACCATAAAAATCCTGGAAGAAAACATAGGCAGTAAAGTCACAGACATCCCACGTAGTGGACTTTT